ACAAAATAATACTTCACGGTGGTGATCATCACACCGGTGATTTCCCTGGAAAATATACTGATATAGCGCATTGCCTTGGGGTTTCTTCGGCAGTTGTATCAAAAATATGGAAACGTTATTGTCAGGATGGGACGATCAGCCCGAAGAAAAATAGAGGTGGGAATCCTAGTTCCTTATCTCAAGGTGATCTTCAGTACGTTGAGTTTCTGAAGAAACAGCAGCCTTCTATTTCATACAATGAAATTATTGAGAAACTCAACGAGTTTGGCGACCTACCGTATGGCAAAACATCAACAACAGCCCTATCAGAAGCAGTTAGACATCGACTTCCTAGTGGCGAGGAATACAGCTACAAAAAATTACAGCCTATTGCCCAAGAAAGATTTACGCTGCAGAACATGGCTTATACTCAATTATTCGTAAACTACCTAGGAAGGAAAAATCCCTATACATTGAAATTTTTCGATGAATGTGGATTAAAACTTCCACGACATGGAACACGCACTTACGGCCATGCCCCCGTTGGAGAACGAGCTGTTGAATATCAGAGATACGCAGAATCTCCTAATACTACAGTTAACTTAATGTGCTCTTTAACTGGGGTGGACTATGTAAACACAGTTAATGGCGGTGCCGACACAATAGATTTCCTTTCTTTCTTTGAAGAGGCATATCATTCCATAAACATAAGAAGTGGTAGGCCTTGTTTAGATCCCGGGTCTGTGATAGTAATGGACAATTGTGCGACACATCACAATCAAGGTGGTCTTGTTTTGGAAGAATTCCTAAACGATCTCGATATTGAACTTGTATACATGCCAGCCTATTCCCCGGACTTCAATCCTGCCGAATATGTATTCGGAAAGATTCGTACTGTAATGAAATACAGATTTAGGGATATCACAACTGTAGCTGAGTTAGTTCAGTGTATGTATGCATCACTGGATTTTATTACGCCAAGTGACATGCGAGGATTTTTTGAAGTAACTGGTTATATAAACCTTTGAATCAGAAAGCCATTGTACATGTTGACATTTTGTTCCCATTTCAATATATGCGACAGCTGATTATTCAATTAAAATTGAAACTGGTAAATATAAATATTTAATTTCAAGCAAGAACTGTATAAAACAAAAATGAAACATGAACATTTTACTGTAAGTACTACTAATAGATACTAGGTGTATCAAAAATAGACCTTTAAAAATTTGCTTTACTGTATAATTTGAATGCATGAGCAAAGAATGCACGAGAATATGTTAATTTCTAAAGGTCATTTTTTTCATATAACAGTACTTTTTTGTAATAACATTATTGAAGTTCTGTATATAAACATCTCCTAACTGTAACTAAAACACAACATGTACAGTACAATACTTACTGTAAATAAAACACAACATGTACAGTGCAATACGATACTGTAAAAGTTAGTCTAAAACATAATCATTGTTTGAGAATAGTTTATTTTTGCCTTTAAATGTAACAAAGCTGCCGCTGCATCGGCTTGGAGTTGAAGTTTACCATCGTCGTCGTCATCAACTACCCTGCGCATTTCATCATTCTGTGCCAAGTTAGATGCATTTTCAATTTCTTCCTGTTGTAATTTAAGAGCCATGTGAAAATCGCTCTTACCTTGATTATCTAGACACAAACTTTTACTCGATTCACCACACAACTTTTTTGGGGGGAATTTGATTCCATATTCTTCTTCAAGTACTCGTTTTTGAGGAGCCATACGGTGATCAGTGTCACGAATGGCTACCGAATGTGTGCTAGTTTCACTAGTTTTTGTCAAAGTTGACACCGATGTATTTCTTACCAACGAATTTAGAAGGTTCATAACGGTATTTCGGGTTGGCAGGCTTCCCTTCAATTTACTCTGTAACAGCATTACATCTTTATTCAAAACTAACCAATTTCTGCGTCCGCTAGTAATGTATCTGTGGGGTTCTTCAGCAACAAGAATATCCTCTATTCGTTTCTTAGCAGAATTGTTCACATTTTCTAATGCAGTTCTGGCACTCTGCATATCAGACCTCGCTTTATTAAATTCGGTTTCGAGCTTGGACACCTCTTTTGTTAGGTTTGCCCTGGTCGATTTTTGATCAATGTGCTTTGCGAGGATTCCGCAAGAAAATGCTGACCTACAAGGGCTGAATGTGCACGATTTTCTTGTGTGTCCAACCTTTAAGTGACATTTGCCACACGCTGAGAGGTGGCCCCCATTTTGGTGACAGGCATCGCTTAATTTGTTGTCGAAGCATTCAAGCTCTCGAGTCTTGTTTTGCAATTGTTCGGAAATCTTTCGCATGCTTTCTTCGTGTTTCTTTGCGTGTCTTTCGAGCGGTAAAATCACTGAGCCTGTATTCGGATTTACAGTTACGTTGCTATTATCATTTAACTGCAGAACCTGAACGTTTCCCTTCACACTATTTTGAAACTAAATCCAAACGACGTTTGCTTCGAGGATTATCCGAATTTGTAACTTTAGCTGGCTGTGCACATAGATTAACAAGCGGCGATTCATTCGCGACAACACGAATAACAATAGACTTCAATCCTTTATTCAAAAGCCTGATCATCTGTGACTTGAAGTACTTCGGTGAAAGATCAATTTCTGTGCGATCTTCTTCAACCAAAATTAGCCGCAATGACTCAGAAGGCGTTGCTGCCACCTTGGCAATGTGTGGGACTTCGTTTAACATTCGACAGTAAAAGCCATCATACGATAAACTCAGTAATTCATCGTTACTAATGAATAACGGTGTGATCCTTTTCTTTGAGTAATATTGATAATCGAACTGAATTTCAATTAAATTATCCATAACAAGCAATACAATAGTAACAAACAAACAATAGCTAGCGGATTACCGACGCAATGGCTTAACGACGCTTTACGATATTTCTCCATAACAACGTGGAATTTGCCACTTGACAACGCGCGCGTTCGAGTGTTGCATTAATCACATGCTCGTGACGTCATTAAACACTCAACCTGAATCCGCAGTAAATTCGATTCGAAATAATACTCATCATATAGTGGTATATAATGAATCCAACCAAAGATATATAATAATAATGATAAAAGGTTACTTACAGAGACGTTTCTTTATATATTACAAGCCAAAAATTTTTCTATAAAGTTCAATACAATTTCCTACTTCCTGGTCAGCGAAACATCCTATTTCATATGAAATTGTGAGAGGCGTGTTTATCATAAAATTCCTTGCTGGGAAATTGTTTAGTGTTTTCCATTGAATCATAGACAGCCCAATGGCGAATGGTTTTATTTTTTATTTGAAATAAAAATGCACACTTTGATGAAATAGACACATTTATTCATTTATTTGCATGCTTATGTACTTGTCTATAATTTACATGCTAATATGCGTGTCTGACAATGTTCAGGCAATTTAGCTATTAAGACTACGTTTACACTACTCCGGATCGGTCTGAAAACGGTGCAAAAAAGTATCAAAACGGGGTTGCGTCGTGTACAATGCACTGCACCGGAGCGGATTTGTTCGAAAACGTCACCTTTGCCGTAGCGACACGACCACACATTCTAAACGTGGTCGAAAGAAAACGGAGCGCTACCTGGCGCCGCGTTGTGTAAACACTACACCGTTTATATTTCCGCCACACTTTAGATACCACTCCGCCACAATGCGTGGAGCGTTGTTGCCGTAATTCAATATAGCGAACAACTTTCCAACAATTTACCAACAAGCACCTTTCTCGCTATCGGCGGCAGCGTTTCCACAATTCAAGGAAATTTCCTTCAAAATGTCAACCACGAGGGAGGGAGGGTTAGTCTTAATAGGATATATTATGCATTCTTTTCAAACGTTTTTTGTTTCTCTCTTTTTCATTACCCTCTCCCCATGAGGACAGCCTTATGCAAATAAGTTGTGGAAACGCTGATCGGCGGTATTATTTTCATTGTTTTTGCGACCAACGACTACGGATATAAACGTCAAGCAATGTTTCATAAAGAAATGGCGCAATTTTCCGCGAACAACTTACGAATGTTGACAGAGAAGAACGCTTATGTGTAAACGCTAACGAAACTGTATCGGAATTCAAACGGAGCAGTGTAAACGCAGTCAAATTCTGCCGTCACTTTCTCGCTCCGGAGCTGTGTAAACGTAGTCTAAGCCTATTAGGCCGTTGGATAAGCATCGAAAAGATGCAATTCCGTTGCAACCCTCGTGGAACTACGTAATTTTTACATGAATCAATAGATAAGAATCCGTTGCTCCCCAAGTGAAACAGGTGCACAATCAGGAAAAAATCCCTCAAAAGTTTGTTATTTTGGCGCTTCGAAATATTCGAACCGCCATTGTTTTAATAGCAAATACGCATGCGCATGTCAGCCAAAGTCGCACTGCGCACACTCAAACAGGAAAAATGGATTTTCCCTGTGGGTTTTCCCCGATTTTCCGCGTCGAAACAACAAAATAAAATCACAGAATAAAGATTAAACCTTGTAATATCAACGAATAAATACACACACATCAAATATTGTTTAAAACACATTGTACATTTTGTTTGCTCATATGCTAAATCACTTCAATTCATTGGCTATTGTTTCAAAATACCGTTTTACGTTAACATCTCAATTCATTAAAAATTGCGTCTGGTAAAAAACCCACCTGTATCAAACAGGACGGAGAATATATAAATATACATACAACTCACACAATCAAGGGACAAGCTAAATATTTAACTATGGCCTTCACATCACTAACAAAGCCTGGAGGAATAGCAGAATCCTTGGTGTATTCATCTGCGCAAGGGCAGTCTCATGGCACAATACAAATGAGTGTGACATGCAATGTCCAAAGCCACTCAATAGAAAAATTATCCACCGGATAGTGATTTTTCAACTGTTCTAAAAATGCTTGAAAAGCAATAATTTATAGGAATACCAAGATTTAATCAAAGTTATACCTAACAACGGGCGATTTTAAAGCAAGTGAAATAATCACAATCCGGTGGATAGCGCTTATCCAGCTTTATTGAACTTCCACTACGCCAAATTGAAATTTTAGTGCTGTTATTGAAATTAGAAGCGGACTATTAAGTATACAATAAGCGTAATTCAGTATTGTTTTTCCCTTAATAATGGGCAAATGCTGTACACCCATAGGCAGATACTTGATTACGGAAAGGTTATATCAAGTGAATAACATCCCAAATTTTAAGAGATTTGCGACAATATTGATTCTCAAGTTATGTAGGCAAAAATATTTCATATGGTCCTTAAAAAGAACACGGACGGGTCAACAATCCTGATTTTAATTTCGAGTTAAAGATTGATAATTATTTTCCACTTCTCTGCTTTTGTTCAACTCAGTGTAATTTGACTCGTCGTTAACACCATAATTTCTTGCAGCATTTCCTCTCAACGATTGGTAATTGTCTTCTTTGTTTAATTTTGCAAGATCCAGTTCTTGGTAAGTTTGATCAACACGAGATGTTGGAGGTACCGGTTCAGGGTTTGATAGTTGACGATTTCTATTTTTAGAACGGACACGAAAGACAATGTAAGAAAGGATGATACCGAAGATGATCCCAGACACCAAAGTAACAGCAACGATATACCAGTCAGTTCCATTATTCCCACTACAATTTTGCTTTTTTTCTAAAAATTGAAATTAAGATAATGTTAAAAAGAAGAAAATCATATTGCGGCGTATATATAAACTGGTCAGGATAAGTCCAGTAAATACCTGTTCCATCACCTGTCAGAGGCACTTGGGTAGTTGTAGTGGTAGGCGCACAGGTATTCGTACAGGTTGTCGTACATATGGGGATGGAACTGAACAAAGGATTCGTCTTCATACTTGCTGTGCTCCCTATTGACTGCATTGTGGGTTTTGGTTCTGGTTACCATTTGTCACAATCATTAAAATATAAAAGGATTAATAATGGTGGACAGAAAATATCAACCGACAAAAAGTTATGCAATGGAAAAAAGTAATGGCTCACATAATGCAGCACAATCTATTATATTTATATGCCTGGGTGCACGAGTCACACACATGCCCTAGTTTCTCTGCGAACATTAACAAACATCTAAGGGGCCGATTACATGGAGTAGGTTAGCACGGTTTGCCAAGCTAAATATCTTGTTTAGCCCTACTAAATCTCAATCCTTCCTGGGTTTTATACGGGGGGGGGTGCTCTGGCCAGTTTGACACACCTGGCTGGCCCGGTTGGATGTCAAACGTTTGAAATGACTATAATTACTGTGGAAAACGGGCCGAATTTCATGCAACGCATTGGGCCGAAATTATTAGAAAGGCCTAGTTGGTCGTGTCCAGCTTTTTGCCACTTGGATGGATGACATCCGGTTATGTCACTGGTGCATCATTGAGTCGGTAACGTCACATCCAATTATAGGCGGCCATTAAATGTTGTGAACTTTTATTAATAACTGTTATTATAAAGTAATTGTTGTCGATTTACAATAAAAATAGTTATAGAATAATTGATAATAAAATTGGGGAATTGTAGCTTAAGCCCCAGCCGAGCTAAAGACCACGCGAGGCTGTTACCTCAGCAAGTTACTCTCGTGTGCGGATAGTTTTTCGTGAGAAAATCGCCTCGAGAGGCAAGTTTCTTACGTGTGCGGATGGTTTTCGGACTGAGCTAACGCGAGGTAGCTCTCGTGTGCGGCGGGCTTTATTGACATAAACATTAGCCGCCTATGATCCTACGGTTGTTTTGTATCACTCGCTACAACTACATTTTGATACATTATAGCAACCAATTTGTTGTCCTCATTGGCCCAGCAGCGCTACAACAACCCGAGGTTAACGTCGAGTCAGGGTCTTGTTTTAAGATAAAAAATCACCTATTTTAAGTTCTTGCAAAAGGTAAACTTACACGAAGTAGTATTAACGTAACATTTACGACTATTCGATTTTCGTAAGCTTCACTTAACTATAATTAAAAGGGTTATAGCCTCTTTGTAAATGGTTTTTATGTTCCGGCGCTTGGGTTTAACCTGTTAACGAAGAAGAAGAAACCGCGTTATGTCGACTTACCTTCAATGTAAAAAAAATCAGAATCGGAATCGTTCCCCAATAAATTACTTGCAATGCAATTATATCTTCCAGCATCCTTCCACTTCAATTTAGGTATGCTATACGGATAGCAAGTACTACTGACTTTGGTACCATTATGGTATATGGTATAACTTGGTTGAGGAGACCCTTCAGACGTACACGTTATAGTTACTGATTCATCAATTACAGCTGGGTTTTGTGAGAATTTTATTACTGTTTTCGTAGGTTTAACTGTTAAAAGAACAAAAAATTTTGTTGTGATGATGAACTGATCCGTATTATAGCTGATAATACTATTGATTCAGGAAACAGCGATTGCGGGACGTCGGAAAGAGACTCGTATATGTCGGAGTTTATACAATTAAATTCTACATTCCGTAAAAAAACTCAAAATTGCAAACTTCATATATATGATAGGACATATACATGCATTTGCAGACTAACTCAATTTTTTGGTTAGTAATACATATACACTGGCAGTCAAAAAGAACTGCTCAAATGTTGCTATCGTATTTCACAGGAATCGTGGCAATCAATCTTTTAACATATACACTAGCGGTCAAAAAGAACTGCTTAGGCACAAATTCATAAAAAGAAGGAAATATATAGGAAAGGGTTTGATAGGCATTTTTGATAATTCCCTAATTTCAATAATGTAACGCAACCTGCCACACCTCCAAAATAGTCAAACAATGGTTTCAGGAAGAGGGAGTGACAGAAATGGATTGGCCTACACAGTCAAAAGACCTTAAGGCTTAACCCTATTGCATGGAAATCTGTGGGACAATGGCTTTATGGGTTGCTGTGAAAACTGTCCATGGGCGTGGGATGAATTTCCTTTAGCTAAGTTTACCATCTCAACAGAAAGTATGCCACGGCGGTGTAAGGCCGTCAAGGTCAAAGGAGGGTCAACAAAATATTAATATTTCATATAGCTTACTATATTTACTTTCATATGTTATTAGAGGGACAATTACGTTCATTTGAGAGCATTTTAACTTGTTTTAAGCAGTTCTGTTTGACCGCCAGTGTATGGTGTATAGTGCTTTAAGGCCGTTTTCCACTAGGCGGAATTTTTTTATTGATCGAAAATTTTCGCTTTAGTTCTTTTTCCAATTGTGAAAATTCAAAGGTAGTAAATTCCCTTTACCGATCACGGTGAAAAATTCAGCATAGTGGAACTCTAACTGCACTCTTGGGTATATAAAAAACGCCTACTTACAATTAACTATTACAACAAATGATTTTTCATCTGTATAATTTTCATGAGGGTAGCTTGTGGCATTACACGTGTAGGTTCCACTTTCTGCTCGACTAATATTTGAGATTTTCAAGGTTTGATTATCTTTTTTAAAACCTGTATAGTTGCCATCTTTATACCAGATGACCTTCGCAGGAGGGTTTCCACCTGTACTATTACAGTGACAGGTGAAGTTGTCACCTTCATCTAGTGTGACGAGACTTGGACAGCTTAATATCACATTTGGTTTCTCTAAAATGCAGATATACTGGCACATCAATTAGTGTTAGTATTTCGTATAATTATATACTAGTTAGTCATTCTCAAATGTTAGGTGCGCTCGCTTAAGGACTGTTTTCCACTGTCACGTTTTTTGTACGTAAAAGTTTAAAATAATTTAAAATCATTTAAACTAGGTTACCTGTTTTATTGATGTGCCAACGTCAATTACAGAGCAAATACATGTTATATATACTGTTTAGAGTAAGTCATTTTGTATGTGGTGTTACCTATATAATTACACCATCGCAAAATAAACACAAGTTGATTTAGAGACGCGTTTATGTGTAATTAAAGATTTGAAATATATACTTCCTTGTGATCGCAAGCAGTGTATGTACATGCACCTTTAAAAGGTTTGATAATACATTATGTTTGTTGGTAGTCATACCAGAGATTTCAAAATAAGCAATTTGTTACGCTGCATGGCTCATGCAGGTTCTTTCAATATTATAAAACTGCTGAAACTTTAATCAACTCTCATTGATTGTTTGTAATTGCGTATCTTTATTCCTAAATGACATGCAGGGAATAAAAAAACTGAAGGGCGATTCCTTTTTCTATCTATAGAGTTGGTGGATTAGCTAAATTATCAGACCAAAACATTATTAGGGCCACCAAGAAAACGAAAAAACGAAAGAAGCTCTAAGGAGATTAATGGAGCAATCATTCTGTCTCTATTCAATTATAATTGTAATCAGAATAACTAGCCCATTTTGGCCATGTGGGATAGTATTATGCTATTTTAATACTTCAATTAAATTATATGTCTTAAAATTATTGTCATAAGACCAGTTTGTTAAACAATAAAGTTATTGCATGATTAGAAATAACTTGCCTGCGATGAAGACGGTAACTTCAGAAGAAGTATCGGAACGTGCTTGGAGTGTGAACTTGTATTTTCCATCATAGCTGCGATTAACGTTCTTTAAAACCAATGTTGCTGGTTTTTCTACTGTAATCACAGGAAAGCTGAAGAATATTGTAGCGGCACCATCAGCAGCTATACGTGTAAGTACAGTGTTACTGAAGGAACCGTCTGTACTTGTGAAAGCCCAAGATCGTGAAAACACAACAGATAAATCATCATCAAATGACCACACTATTTTGCCAGTTGATCCTGGTAACATAGTCATTTTGTTTCCACTTGCTGGTGACTGGACAATTCCTAAATATCATAATCTTGTGTGATTTTTTTTCACAATTTGTTGATCATTAAAGTGTTCGACCAGTTTGTAGAAACACCTCGTGTAGTTTCTACACACTGATATAACATTTTAAATTCGCTATGGAAAATTGATAGAATTTAGAATTTTAGATACAACCATATGTACACATGAATTTGCCCTGCGAAGTATACATGTACAGAAACTGTTGCTACTTTCAAGTTTATATTTCGTTTGTGTGGTGTGGTTACTCATTGAGTTCAATGGGTTATCCACCTAATCCTGAGATAAACGCTGGAAACACTTCCTATTTTGGGAAATGTAATAACAAGATTTCCATTTTTAGATAGTGAGCCTGACTTGCTTTAATGCCACCGATCATATACTAGAGACACTAAAGGAAACGAAAGTCTGAGAGTTCAAACCTTGACAGGGGAACAACACCCAAATGAGCCCAAACAGAACAAGAAAACCAAACCAAGTCATATCTCTAAACCTGCGAAAGAAAGATAAAAAATATCGGTAATTATAATTTACCGTTTTTGGTAAGGTCTCAAGAAGGTATAGTCTATAGATGTGAAAGCATATGATACATGCAGTTATAACAGTATCATATTTAGTAGTTACGACTTGGTAGTGTGTGACTTTTGATTTAGCTTTGGACTTTGTTTTGCAAACATTTCAGTATTATTGTAATATTAATGTAGTTTATATGTTGAGATTCTTTATAAGGATTTTGAACGTCTGGCAACTTAGCAAAGGAACAACACAATGAGACATTTTTGTGGCATATAATTTGGGCAGGAAGCGCTCGAAAAAAGGTCTAGAGGCTCTAATTAACTTAAGTTTTTCCTAGAGGAACGGGAGGACTTCTAAGTTGCAGAGGGTGTGAGCCAGCTTTGTGCATGTTGTTCAGTGAGTTGAGACCTGATGATCTAGGGACCACCATTAGTTATACTGAGACAGTAAGGGCACTCAAAACCCGACAGAGCATGCAAAAACTATAGGTTTTTCTAGAGGAACAGGTGGACCTCTAGATAACAGGGGAACAGGCTGACCCGGCCCTGTTCAGGTCAGTCAGCTCGACTCAAATATCGTCTGACTGACCCATCGAGTCTCTAGGTCAGGTCATCAGGTCGCGTTTTCGACCAAAATGACCTGTACAAATGCACTTCACGTGGTGAGGTGTTGTCCAGAAGGACAGCACTTCCTGCAATTGTTTAATCACTGCAATTCATTACAAGTTACAAGAAGAATATCGATAGACTATCTAGAGATAACATATGAATGAACATATCAGTATATATTTACATGCGGATGCCACAGCGGCCGGTCCTTCGCTGTGGGGATGTGGGTGGGGTTTATTTTTGTAGTTTTTGGTTATGATAATTGCTTTTGAGACGCAGATATATGTATTACTGCCTTTCGATAAAGACCTTTAAATATTTGACCGGCGTTGTGGACGCATTGGCTGAGGTCTTGCGAATGACCAATGCATGCATGGGGAGCAGGCAAAATTCTTGCAGAGAATGGGGCCATTGTTCAAGTCCACGTGAAGGGAAAGACCGTCAGGGGAGATTCGATTGGCCGTAACACAAGTTTGCATACGTTGTTCACACGTTAAGATGCCAGGGTTCGTTCAGATTTTGGACTTTATAACTATTAACATGGCTGGTAAAGGCTGCCTTGTTCTATTGCGGCTTGACCTTGCCTGGGCTAAAATTAGTGCATGGGGTAACTATGACAGCTAGACCAGAGATTATGATATGTAGGATGAAATAAGACCTTCTAGAACATATTACTCCATTAACCGCAAATTTATAACTTGCGTATAAATTTTTTATATAAAATAATAAAACAATAGTAGCATTTGAAAATTTCCGTGCGTTTTGTGCCTAATAGAGAGTTAGAAAGGCTTGGTAACAAACGTGGCCCAAGCCGCCTCGTCCTATTCTGTTCCTCGCGTTACGAAACACAACCCGCCAGGGTAAAACATCACTTTTGGCGGGAAAATTTTGGTTTTTTAAAATCTTTGTTATGCTGGTTTTTTTAAGAGCAAATTTAAATGGAAAACGAACTTCGAGAATGAGCTTTGCGGGAAAGAAACCGGCAGTCCAAATTGCCCTCGTGCCTCCTGTAGTGGAAATACAAAAGGTTTAACCAAGAAGAAATAAAAACGATGAATTTGTGGTTGTACTTCGTTGTTTAATAATTTCTATAACCCCGGATATGCTTTTAAGTTCCAGTTCTAGGATAAAAATATGAACGCTACTGGTGTATATTAAAAACACAATGTGATAAACAAATTGATTTGTACGAGATTTAACGATCCACTGATACCCCAGAAAATGTAGTTAAAGGAATAAATTCATCAAACAAGAAAAGATAAGAACTCAAATTCAAGTTTTGAATAAAAAAATATTCGATATTCATTTGAAGTTCCTAGCGTAGTGATCACAACGTAAAATTAACAAAATTCCGTCGTATAATCGTTGAGTACGCCTCGAAATTACCCAAGACGCGTTGGCCGCACAGCACTTGTCACAACCTCACAAAGCCTTTCTAAAGGCGATTCGGAGAGCAAGGCAGAAACATAAAGGCCCATTTACACTATACGATTTCGTACCCTGGCGTATGAGAACGTATGAACCTGAACAAAATTGAATGAAGATTGTGGCATACATACGTACTCCATTGCATTCGTCAGAATGATAATTGCATGCAACTCACCCTGGGTACGAGGTTGCTGATGGTGTATAGTCGAAATTAATAGGCCTTAAGATTTTTAAGAATCAACCGGTAATGCAGCGAAACCGATTAGTCCACTTAAAATTCGCAAAATTCATAAATATGAGGACACAACAATACTGAAATGTTTTTAGATGCAGAAGAACCTATTTCGGTTATACATTGTTCGGTTGAGTACTAGTATGTTGTAGATTTTCTTACAACCTTCGCACAGAGAATTTTTATTTCTCACAATGCTCACCGCTGTAGTGTGCTTAGATATCTGTCGTTTCAGACTTCCAGATGTATAAATGTAGCTATTAACATGTTTTTAACAGTTTTTACCCAGTGGCGTCGCCAGCTTGTTTTCAGTATTCATTTCTTTTCAAATTGACTGTTGTAACGGTCTGTGAACATGAATATATGAATATGTCCACCCCACTTATCGATGCTGGCAACCCCACTGTTTTTACCTCACCTAATATTTCATAGTATATCGATAATAATCCTATAAAAAGCCCAATTAGACTGCCAGAACTGCTTCAAGGCATGCGATAGCTTATTCTGACAACCAGCTTCTGGTCTATTTCTAATAGATGCATACAGATTATTCATATGCTTCGTTTACCCATCAGATTTTAAGCAACTTGCCAACTTCTGACATGTTACAGCCGCTTTGCGACTAATTCGAATTTTAAAGGTGTCAGTTTTTTTTTACTCACCCTGTACAGGCTATACTATAACATTTTATAATATTCGTGCATGTTACGACTTTTTGACCTGAAGTCCTGAAGTACTTCAAAACGAAAGGTATCTGAAACCTCGTATTCATTAACATATAATATAGGTACCTATACAGACCGGCAATTCCTATTCATATATATTCCACAATTCAGTGGTAAATATATTCGCCACAATATATTGTTTAATATACTGGCAATCATTCCTAAATGCTTTCCTTTATACCCTACTAGATAGTATTTTGTTGAAAAGGGATCATGTCAATGGTAGTCCTTGTCTGACATGACCATACTCTATAATTATAGCAACAACAATGTTCAGCGGAGAATATGTTCGCCCGAGTAACTATTATGATTATAGCTTTTTTCAACCAATACATTTCAAGTTCATTTCAGTTTTTTCGTGCACAAATACCCCTTTATTCTCATGCAATACTAAGATACAAAATTTCATAATAACATACCGCTTATTTAACCGAAATTTAACTCACCAACTTGGGCTCTAAATAGTGTAATGTTTGTTTCACTTCCTTGTTGGGCCTGTTGGCCAAACGGTGATATTTAGAATCTAGTCATAAAGAATTCCTTGAAAGCGTTTTGAAATTCCTTGGTATTTCCACACAACAGTCCCGAGTTGACTCTGATTCAGATTGCTTTGAATGAGGTTTGTGAGGAAGGTTCAAAGTTGAACACTCTAATTGACCACAAGCATGTACCAAAAAAACAAATATTTTCTTATGCTGGTTGCCACTTGACTCAGCGACGTAACACTCATTTTGAGGAAGGTTTTCAAAACTTGAAATCCTACCGGAGGAAGGTTGAACTGTTTTTGCAACTCTGGAATCGCACATCTTTAAAAAGTGCCTCACCATCCACCTTTGGGCCATTACTTTTTCACCTTGAAATTGATCATGATCAGCTAAGAACTGTCGGATGAGCGAGTAAATCACAAAGCGGTTATCACTCTTTTCTTGCATTAAACCTCGGCTGACGAGATTTTTCAAAAATTCTATCGTGTCCGAGCCACTTCTTCCAATGACTCATGTTATATATGACTGAAGTTTTGGCAACTGACAGTTTGGTAGTATTAACGGCAAAACATGAATTTGTACGACAAACTTTTACGGTGCATTTTAAAAATACCTGTTGTGCGGGAATCCATCCAGCTTGTAAATAAATTTCTTGCTCGAAATACGTATCGTTAAAAAGACAAATAAGCACGCTTTAAAATGAGATAATTCTCTGTTAATTTGATCACGTTTTCATTTAGCAAATTAGGCTTGAAAGGTTAAGTGCGATTGTTTTGGGACACCCTGCATGTACATTCACCAAGTGCACCGATAAACTAACAAGATCAAGAACACGATCGATCAAATTTATCATTCTTTATTTTGCAGACAAAACAGTATTTATTACAGCGATTAATAGCTAAACTTGAGTTAAAAACTAAAGATTATTATATTTATCGAGAACAGTACAACTATTGAGGATTTCATCACTTGCTGACTTATACATGCAACGGACATTGAAA